TTTGACACACAAAATAATTTTTGGACTCACTTTTACTACCTTATTCAAATACATTGATTAGGAGAGGTTTTGTTTGAGGAGCGTCTCTCATTCCTCTTGTCTGAAACAATTGCGTTAAGACATTTTTTACTTCTCATCTCGCAACTGGCTTGGGGCCCTTGTGTTTGTGCATCATTTCAAATCTTATCGATTAATATTCTCACTTTAATCGATTTACCCAGTTTTGTTTTGATTAGTCGATTAAAATCTCTTGATTAATCGATTAATTGAGTTTTGCTTAGCGTTGGAATACTCAGGTTTGAGTTTAATCGATTTTTTCCTTCCCTTTAATTGATTAGTTAACACAGGGCCTTCTAATCGATTAATCCCTTTAAATTAATCGATTTTCTTTCAGCTGCATTAATCATTGATGATGCTGCATTAATTGATTAATGTCAGTGCATTAATCGATTATTATGCTGCATTTTTCATCCCAACTTCTTTTCTTGGACCAATGGATATATTTCTTCACCTCCTATTTAAACACTCTTTCTTGGTCATTTTTTGAGAACAAGAAACACTCTAATACTCCTCATTCTTGAGGTGTTAATCCTCCATCAATCTTTCCTCAAATTTATATCATTTTGAGAGAAAATTAGTTATTTTTAGAGAGGTTTCTTGTCATCCATTAAAGCTAAACATTTTCTCATTCCTACTCTTTTGAGAGTTTATGTTGAGAGGCTTAAGAAGATTGTTCTTGTTGTTCAAGACTTATGTGACTTAAGTTTTGGTTGTGAAGTCTTGTAGAGGGCACATCTACGAGCGGTTGTGTTGAGGCTTGTGGGATTCAAGTTCTCGGTTTGTAAACGGTTTGTAAAGCACCCGTTGAAGCTTAATAAGTAGTGGTAGCTTCGAGAGAGTGTCTCGGGGAACTGGACAAGCTACGAGGTGGTGTTCTTTGCCTTCTCTCTTTTATTTCCGTTGCATTTATGTGTATATTATTAATCCTACGAAAATCGGTAAACATTCTCAACAACTCTATTCACCCCCCCCTCTAGAGTTGCACGTAGGGATGACAATTTTATCCGAATCCGACTTTTTCTGACCCGACCGAAGTATATAATATCCGAATCCGACCGAAAAAATAAATATCCGAAACCGACCCGAAGATTTTAAAACCGAACCTGACTTTTGTCGGGTCGGTTTTCGGTAATTAAATTTGACCGACTCGATAATTAACCCGAAATAAAAGGCCTTTTTAAAATATAAAAAAACCTTTTTCAATTAAAAGTCTTTGACTTACGGGAGTTACCGGTTACGGACTTGAAAAATATTTGTGAAAACTTGTTATATTTATGTGTGTTGTTTCTCTTGTGAAATATTTGTGAAAACTTGTTACACTTCCATGTTTTGGTTGTTATTTGGGACACATCTTTTTTAATATCTTAATTCTACGATGTCTTTGAACGTTCAAATGTTTTTATGTATTGGAATTCTATTTATATCATTACTTGCATTTATTATTTTATCATTATTTTAATAAAAATCATTACAAAAAACTGATTTATTAGGATATTGGTATGGTCAGTCGGTCGGGTCGGTCGGTCGGTCGGTCGGGTCGGTCGGTTTTCAGGTCGGGTTAGGCTTAGGTTTTTGTCAAATTCTCGGGTTCGATTGCGGTTTCGGGTTTCGGTTTAGGCAGTCGGGTTCGGGTTCGAGTAGAAATTTATACCTAACGGTTCGGGTTCAGGCAAAAAAAAATATCCGATCAAAATTTTGGGTCGGTTTCGGGTAAGGGTATATCCGAACCGAACCCGACCCGTTGCCATCCCTAGTTGCACGCCTTGTAGGATCGTTTTTTCTGGGACTTCCCAGTGAGTCTCTCGGGGAACTGGACTAGCTACGAGGTGGTGTTCTTTGCCTTCTCTCTTTTATTTCCATTGCTTTACGTTTATATTATTAATCCTACGAAAATCAGTAAACATTCTCAACAACTCTATTCACCCCCCCTCTAGAGTTGCACGACTTGTGTACCTCGTCAGGTTGGGCTGTTAGTACCCGATACTGTGACTAGCACAGTAGCGAATTCCTAAGGGTGATCGATGGTCCCCTATAAGACTAACAATCTCCCCCCAGCAACACCCGGGGGATTCGAGCCTGCTTCCTCGCTCCGATACCACTTGTAGGATCGTTTTTTCTGGGACTTCCCAATGGGTCACCCATCCTGAGACTACTCCCGTTCTAGCACGCTTAACTCTAGAGTTCTGAAGTTAAAGAGATGCAAAATACTTCCTAAAACCAATTGGTAATAGGAAGGTGGACACTTTGTATTTAACCACATCTCTTTGTAGCCCCAAGCCGAGGTAGATTCCTATAGGGCACCCCCTATAGTTCACTACGGCAGTGCAGAGCCCCACTACTGAGCGGTGGATGGACAGGAGGGGCTTCTCAAGATACACGACACGTGTACCTCGTCAGGTTGGGCTGTCAGTACCCGATACCGTGACTAGCACAGTAGCGAATCCCTAAGGGTGATCGATGGTCCCCTATAAGACCAACAATTTATTATGGTCATGACCTTCTCTTTTGGAATGAAGATCAAACTAAACCAACTCGGGAGTTCCTTGTTAGATGGTTGAGATCCATGTCCCCTTCAGAACAAAAGTTCATAGATCCCCGTACGCATGTTTGTATCCGAATAACCATTGGACCCAGCAAGTACCACATGGCTCTAACCTTTATATTCTTATGGCATCACTTTCCTCTATTCCATTTAGGCCAAATCCTATAGTTCCTATATATTCATATGTTACTTTAATGTTACATTACATTCACAAGTGTATATCTCATAAAATAAGCACAATCATATCCAACATAACTAAACATAGTCAAACATCAACCTAGCACTCAATGTGAACACCCATACTTACTGCCATGCAATATACAGGGTCTCGAAATGAATCTTTGACAAAAAATAGATTTACCAACAAACTCTAAGTACCAGATGGTACCTAGTCCGGTAATGGGGTACTGACACGATACCTGGGTACCATCCAGGCGGTACCTAGCACCGGCTGGCTGGGACAGAGTTTGCCAGCGCCAGATGGCTTAGCTTGTGATGGTAGCCAGCTACAGTCCAAGCGGTAGGGCATATCGTCCGTCCGGTACCTAGGAACCAAACGGTTGCAGGTTCTGACAGTGTAGATTGGCTTGTGGCGGTAGCACGATACCGGCCTAGTGGTACCGCCTACTGTCTGACACATAAACCTGTTTCTGCACCAACCAAATTCCATCAACAATCCCACACTAATTTCATACAACTCAAAACCAATATGTTCATAATTCAATTCCCAAATTCTATCTAACGATATCATGATTATAACCATAGCAAGTCAGGCTTTATAATCCACAAACTACCAATAATCCAATCCAACTATCACACGTAGGGTTTCACATAAATCAACCGTAATGAGTCTATGAACGTAAGATTCAAACCTTTAGATATAACCTAGTGTTACTCACCTTAAATTTGACGAAAGATTAACTACGAAGAACAACTGCGATTGAAGAGTTGAACGGTGATGGTGAACTACTTTTCTTTTTCTTCTTTTTTTTCTTGGCTCTGTTCTCCTATTTCGGTCGACAAGGAACGAGGGAGAGAGAGGGTCGAGAATTACGTAAATATGGCGGAACGTTTGAGGTTTAAGCGTGTAGGGGTGGATTTATAGTTATAGGGTTTTGGGATCCGAAATTAAATAACGTACATTGCTAAAAATATCTTTTTCGGGCCAACTTGCTCCGAATTCAAATCTATTTTCACTGTTGGATTTGTTTCGTCGAACCCTACACAACAGTATAATTATTATATTTTATTAACGAATGTTTAAAATAAACTCCAGGCCCGCCTCAATACATAATTAATTATTCTTAATTAATTAATTCTGATAGACTGGGTTTTAGGGTGTTACAAGTTTGAATGATGGATATTTTTGAATTGACTATATTCATTACCAACATAACAAAGATGGTTTAAATATGAAAAAGTAAATGTTAGAACAAATAAATGTCATTGATGTTGTGGAGAAAATTATTATGTGAATACTTTTGTTGTGTCATAGAACCATTTAGTTTCATTGCTGAGTGTGTAGACTTTTTTCATCTTTATATATGTAGGTATAAGACAGAGTAAATGTGGAGCCCATCCTGGTGGGTAATGAGATGAAGATGATGTGTGGACGCGTACAAACTTACTATTTGAGCAGATGATTTCATCACATGTTTAATTATGAGTTGACCATACTGATGTAGTTTCAATTGCTTCCATACTGTTTTAAATAATTTTACTTCGATGTTATTCCAAAATATTTTGCATAGTTGTTTTAAATAAAGTTTTAAATGCTTTAAATTATGGTGTTACCAAATTAATACTTTAGTCCGAAAGGGTTTGCAAATCTGGATGGATTAGGGTGTTACACATTGTTCGGATACGAGTTCACTTCTCGGGCCTAGGCCTTGATGTCGAGATGTCTAATCAAGAATAGTATATTAGGCTAATTACATTAATAATTACACATCGGAACAATATACCTATTACAAGCCTTTTAGTTTTTTTGTGTGTTTGCTCATCAAGAAATTGCAATTGTCAATAAAAATACTTAACTATCACACTGTAACGCCCTGAAATCCGGCTTAGTGGTTAGTCGTTATTTTAATAGAAATGAATATATTATTTATTGACTTCAAAATATGAATTATTTGTAAAGTTGACCATTTTAATTAAAAATTAGGTTTTCGGGTAGATCTCGTAAAATGGTAACCAACGATATATAGTTTGTTAAATTTGGACTTTCATGTACAACGTGGTAAACAAAATTGATGCTACAAATTCAATAAATAAATATAAAGATTTTATAATATTAAATAATAATAAATTATTCCCACGCCTATTCGTATGCCAAAACGGAGAAAAACCCTCACCCAATTAAACTGTGTATATAATTTACTCCGTATATACTGCGCCTCGCATTCCAATCTGCATCACGACTCTTCTTCTTCTCCATTGGCGACGAAACCAAGAGAGTTCGTCGATCAAGCTGCCTCAGACGTTGCCGGGAAAGAGGACTTCGTCGGAGCTTCCGCCGGAATCTAGGTGGGGATTATTTGTGATTTCTTCATCAATTCCATTGAGGTGAGTGATTTATCTCTCTTTAAGATTGATTCATAGATTAGGATTCGTTAATATGTTTTCATTCAATTGACGTTGAATTCGTGAATGTGATTATTGGATGGTTTGATTGGCTATGTTGAATTTAGAATTTGGTTAAAATTTGGGAATTTGGATTATTGATCGGAACTCTGCAACTGTCTAGTCGTCTCTGTTCTTTCTCTTCTTCCGCCCTGTTTTTGTTTGGCCGCCGATGGGGAGTTCGTCTGGGTCTCCGCCGGTTTTCACCATTGGAGTACGCTGCTACTGATTCCCGGCCGAGGAGAGAGGGTGAAAATACTGGTCAGCCAGTTCCTACTCGCCGAACGGGAATATGGGACACACGAGGGGGATGCGATTTGCAAATCTAAGTGCCCCAAATCAGAACACGGAATTTTACTTCTAAAAATGTGCAAATTGCCCCAGGATCTCTAAATAGTTTACAATTTGGTCCTACTTCGTACTTTGACCGTAATTTAGTCCATTATTTATAAAATAATGAACTGGTAATAAATTGTACCTTGAATAGAATTGTGAAATATGTCATCTAGTGTATCCAGTCAAATCTTAGTTGAGTTGTGTAGTAGAAATAAGTAATCAGATCGACATTAGAAACAAGGTCACGCGGGTGACGTCGTTCATCCGGTGGTCTCGAGGGTTAAAAACGTGCGCACGGTGGTCATTGGCCCCTGACGAGAGCCAGCGGGGGCCTCAACCCCCTCCATTGCGAGAGCTTTGGAGTTATGAGTGTGGGTTTGGGCGAGAGCCTGGATTTTATTACTCCTGTAAGTATGAAATGGATTATATCTAGCAGGCAGATGGAGTAAGTATGCGTAAGAACTAAACTAAATTATATGGATTAATAGTGGTACAGTTGGATAATGATATTTGCCGATTCTTTTGATATTGTTTGATTATATATTAATGAGTGCTAGTCTATGAGTTAGTTTTAGCGTTAGATACTTCCACTCTCCCTATTTTTACAGGTAGGGATCAAAAATTTGATGAGCTGCAACCTGGAGGACAATGAAGCGTGACGCTGGTGGATGACCCGAAGCTATTTGAAATTGAATTAAATACTTGTTGACTTTTATTTTGTTAGACTACAAGAATGTTTGACGATGTTGTTTTAAAGGCTTCCGCAACGTTTGAATTATTTACTCCGATTAATTATGAATTGTTTTTAAATAAATATGAATAGATGTTGTATTTTTAAATTTTTTTTAGAATATTATGCATGTGAATACCAAATTCGTAACAACCCGATTCGCTAATTCGGGGTTTCGGGTTACGCGGGTTGGGGTGTTACACACACCATTATTATTCTTGGATCTTAAAAAGATAATGGCCTCGAGCGTATCACCCGTTTGCAAGCTGGATCTTTCACTATCTCAACCGAAATCATCATTATCTTTGAATAGTGTGCGCAACCAACTGCCATCTCGATCTCATCATTGTCTTGTCTCATTAATAAGTTCTACAATATGATACCTCCACTATTCGACCAGGTTTTAAATTAAAGTAAAGTTTATGTTTTTAAATTTTTCGTGCATTGCTTTACAGGTCAAGACTCTCGGAGCAACTTCATTTTCTCTTTAACCATTGAAAGCCTTTCTTATACGGTAGTAAGGATGCTCACGTTTGACGAATCGGAGGTGACCTAAGAAGACTAATTTTCTTCCGTACTTTAGCCACACACTTAATATTATCCTCACATATCTAACATGCATTCTTTCCATTAATCTTATATCTGGATAAGTTACCATAATATAATACTTACACTAATATTATATTTTTAATATAATTATATTATTATTATTATTATTATTTATTAGCTTCCATACCCATTAGTATAGTATCTGTTCAATCTACTAATCTCAACCTCTTAAACACATAGATAAAGCTCGGATACTAAACACGAAGATGCTTGGGTTGCTTTTTTTGCACTACGTCAACATGCTTCCACTAATATAATATAATTATATTATATAATATCAATAATAGATCATATTATTATAAATTTATAATATCTATTATATATAGTAAGAATACAACAGTGAAAAATTAAGAATATTGAATAATGAATATTTGAAATATAATGTAATTATATTATTATAATATCAATAATAGAAAATTAGATATTTTTTGTGATTTTTAAATAGGAATGAAGGAGTATTTATGGGGAAAGTTTTTACCCACTACCCCCACCTCCAATGACTCTTTTAGTTGTTGCTGCTACAAACGACTAATGTGTTGTTGCAGCATGGTCCCCTTTCTTTCATTTTCAAGTTCAAATTATTCCTTTTTTTTGAATAAAAAATTGGTTATGTCATCGAAATAGACAAATTCTAGTTACAGTTCCGATTCGAATTCAGAACCGTGTTGAGATCTATAGAGTGAGAGGAGGTTTAGAAGAAAGAAACATGTATAAAATAATTAATTTTACCAAGTGAATACTGTAAGGGGTCTTATATTCAACATTGAGCTTGTTTTCTTCATTTGATCTGACTGATTGGAATAAGTTCTAATCTAATTATAATTATATTTAAACATGTTTCTTAATTCAATTAAAAAATCAATAATAAGATAGAACAAGCTAATTGTCACCATGTCAAACGTCATTCTCAAATGACCCTAAAACACAATTGGGCCGAAACATATTACGGGGCAGTAGCGTATTCTCCACAAGCCGGAGCCTACGACATTCGCAGGAGCGCATTTTGCATCTTCTCACTCTCTCGTCTACTGCTTTCTTCTGATTCTCAGAGCGCAATCCATCTTCAATCCAGCCACCGCATATAATCTGAGAGCAGCGAGTTGCAGAGCATAAATGGCGGGATTCCAAATGCAGCCGTACGGGATTCAATCGATGCTCAAAGAAGGGCACAAGCATCTGTCCGGTTTAGATGAGGCCGTGCTGAAGAACATCGGCGCCTGCAAGGAGCTCTCTGCTATCACGCGGACATCTCTCGGGCCCAATGGTGAGTTCTTCTCTCACACTCGAAGAAACTAATGACAAGTAATTAAGATTTTTCTAAAGCTGCGTTGTTTTAATATAATCCCTAGTAACTTAGTTTAAATACATTTCCCAGATGCGACACAAGTAGAGAAATCCACTGAACTACTTTTACTGAATACTGTGATGCTTATGTGTTTGTGTGTGTTTTCGTATGCATTGAGGTAAAAATATTTGCTGAAATGTTCATATCTAATTGTTATTAGAATGTTCACTCACATTTCGTGTCCTTATATTTTGAGAATTTGTGTTTCTCCATTTCAATGCAGAAAGGGTTAACAGAAACAACCTATATGTTTCTTACAGTGGGGATGCATACATCTTGACCCCTAGATCACAGCATAGTTGGATTCTTGTTGTTGTGTTTTTCCATGTCCCTTTTCATATATCTTGTTCATATTTCAGTGCAGTATAGCTCCTATTGAGTGGTTTAATTTGTTCCTGATCAATTATCTGTATATGAATAAGAGATAGCTGTTGTTCTCACCCATATTTGGTTCACATTTGTTTAGGCATGAATAAGATGGTTATCAATCATCTTGATAAGCTTTTCATCACCAACGACGCTGCTACAATTGTGAATGAACTTGAGATCCAGCATCCTGCTGCCAAGATTTTGGTGTTGGCAGGAAAAGCTCAACAAGAAGAGATTGGTGATGGAGCCAATTTAACTGTTTCTTTTGCTGGAGAGCTTCTTCAAAATGCAGAGGAACTTATCAGGATGGGGTTACACCCCAGTGAGATCATCATTGGATACAACAAGGCAATCAATGAGGTCTGCATTGTCTACCATTTAAGGGCTATACTTGATTTTTAAACTCTAGTTCTCCAATTGAATTATCATTGTTACTAAATTTGTTGTTACAGACTATTAGAGTATTAGAAGAACTGGTCGAGGGAGGTTCTGAAAATATGGATGTGAGAAACAAGGAAGAAGTTGTTTCTAGAATGAAAGCTGCAGTTGCCAGCAAACAATTTGGACAAGAAGATATCTTGTGTCCTCTCATTGCTGAAGTAGATATCAAAATGCTTCGTTTATCTAGTTCAAGATTTTGGTCTATATTTTCACATGTACCATTACTATCGGTAGCATTTTGATTCTTTGCTGCGATGGGATTTTTCCTTATGTAGGCATGTATACAAGTGTGTCCTAAGAACCAAGCTAATTTCAATGTGGATAATGTTCGTGTTGCTAAGCTATTGGGTGGAGGTCTGCACAATTCAGCCATAGTTAGAGGCATGGTATTGAAAAATGATGCTGTTGGGAGCATAAAGAGAATGGAGAAAGCAAAGGCGAGTACTAAAACACATGTTTTTTCTTTGTTTTAATCTATTAAACCTGATTTTGCAAGGAAAGTTACTGCACATACGAAGTATATTAGTATTAGTATAACAACAGTTAATGGTATTATTGAGGTTGAATTTTTGTTTCACAAGTCCCAATTTGTTTCTTGTACTTATAATACTGTTACACATGGAAATGAAAAAATTAAGAAAACTAAGATTGCTAATTGCATGCTCTAAAAGAATCATGAAGACAAGGATGCCATAATAAATGTAATGGAACACTAATTTTCTCTCTTTTGTTGGGGTTTCATGACTTTTCTAAAGGAAATTTGATGATAAAAGGCTAATGGGGAAGAAATATTCTTCTGCTTTTGTCTAATTTATGCCTTGTAATTCTTTTTACTTATTTAGTATTCTTCTACTTTCTATTTCGTCCCCATTTCCTACTCCTTTAAACAGAAGAAACTGTGGCTGATTAAAATTCTCATTATTTTGTTTCTAAATAAATACCAATCACACAATTCAATTTCTCAAATAAGTGTGCCAAAAGTAGACGAAAAGGTAATTTGGGGATGGAGGGAGCAAGGATTTTCATGATAAAAAAGAATTGCATGCAGATTCATAATTCATTTGAGGCACGGATGAAAAGTTATGGGTTTGGATCGTTATCTGCCTAGTCTATGCTACTAGTAAACATTATAGAGTTACACTTCTGCCATTTACACACTTTGTTTTTTTCTCTGTAATGAAGTTAAATGCATACTTTTGTAGGTTGCTGTCTTTGTTGGGGGAGTTGATACAACCGCAACTGAGACAAAAGGCACAGTTCTTATTCATAATGCCGACCAGGTATTGCATTTAGCCATATTCAATTGATTTTTTGTACAACTGCAATTTTATCAATCAATTTATGACGTTAATTATTTTCCTTATAGAATAATTCCTATGTTTATATTTATCTCTCTAGGCTTACCACTTTTCCTTTTTTATATGTTCATCCATGAAATGTATGCACATTGAATAGTTTTTCCCTTATTTACTCTTTTATTATTCATTTATTCTATGCATCAGTTTTCCAAGAACATAAAAAAAATTATAATAACAGAACATGAACAATAGCGGTTTGGAAAATGAACCTAATTTGAACAGGCTACCAACGACATACCAACCAAAGATTTAAAACCATCATTTTGAAAGGCGAGAGGCAGCCAAGATGACCTTTCCTGTTAACCCCATGGTGAAAGCACAATCTACACCCAGTCCAGTAAGCCCTTTGATAACCCAATCTAATCCCTGGCCCAATAGAATTCCCCCATATATATGTGTGTGTGTATATATATATATTCCGATAGATATATGTAACTATATTTAAATATATGTTATTAATAAAAAACTATCCAAAAAATCGAGAACAAACACTGAGCAAACACAAAGAGTAGTGAACTGGAGAACAAAAAAAGGTCCTGGATGCGCCGAAGAAAAAGAATGAGAGGCAGAGAAGATTTCAAGAGCTGCTAAGCAACAAGCTTAAAAAAGGGAGTGGAGCAAAAAATTGTGAAGCAAACAAAAAGATGAGCTACTAACCTGCTTAAAGTCAACACAGACAAGAGAGAAAGGGGAGACAGCCAGACAATGTAAATGAGTCAGGGTGTAGACTATGTAAACCAAGGCACACTTAAGCTGTAAAGCCCATATCTTACAGGCCCATATTCAAAAGACAGGGAACCAAGAAAGTTGATCACCTATGGCGAGAAAGGCCATTAACTCACACACGTCTTAGGAAACTAGCCTCACCTGAATGCCTTGAGGCGGTGTAAGATCGTCTTAGGCAAAGGAGGCGAGCCCCTCTCAAAACTATGGTTCCAACTTCCAGCATATAATATGCTTGGGGGAGTTTTATGGAGAAAGTGCTGAGTTCAATTCCACCTCCCAACAAATCTCTGCATCGAGCCTGTCAGTTATGAGCAATCTAGATTGGTTTATACCGGATACCTCTTATGTGTAGTTTGCAGGCTTTTGCACAGACACAGGTACCCAGTGTGCACTCTATGAGTAGCGACTACGAGTTTCCCTCGTGATCAAAAAATGGTTTGCATGATTATCAATCTAGAAAGTGTATAACACAAAGACTTGACATCACCACACACCACAGTTAAAGATATAAATTTAAAAACAAAGATATCATAAATTCACAACCCAGGATTGATGTTTTACGAACACACATATCACAACAACAACAACAAAGCCTTATCCCTCTAGGTGGGGTCAACTACATGGATCAAACGATGCCATTGCGCCCTATCATGTATCATATCTGCTGTGAGATTGTTCACGCAAAGGTCTCCCTTGATCAATGCTTGCCAAGTTCTCTTAGGTCTACTTCCTCCGGCCACATGCCTATTCACCATTTGATCAACCCTTCTCACAGGATGCTCTATTGGTCTTCTCTCCACATATCCAAAACACCTAAGACGAGTTTCCACCATTTTTCCTACAATAGGTGCCACTCCAACTTCAGCTCTCATATCTTCATTCCTTATTCTATCCATACACGTATGACCGCTCATCCAACATGTTCACCCTTTGCTGCCCAACACTCTGTCCCATACAATATAGCTGGTCTAATAGCAGTACGGTAAAATTTTCCCTTTAGTTTTAAAGGTACTTAATTGTCACATATAAAGCCCGACTGTGCCATTTTGACCAACCGGCTTGAATCCTGTGATTAACATCATCCTCTATTTCTTCATTGTCTTGAATGATACACCCAAGATATTTAAATCTCTCATGAAGATTCGACAAAGTTTTACGTGCCAAGACCTAACACAACCCTCCTCTTTTATCCGGGCTTGGGACCAGCTATGTAACGTAATAACATAGTTACATAGGCAGAGTTACGAACACACACATAACATAGTATAGAAAATTAGAAATTCAGAATATATTCTAGCATTAATACTTGCTAAAAAAATCATCGAACTTCTCATCATGTAACATATCTGCATATAAAACAGTTAAAAAACTTTTCATCGTACATTCATGTGATAAATCTACTTAAATAGTTAAAAGTTAAAATTAATCACAAATTGAGGAGAATGCATGGGAAGGGCAGGAGACTAAGGATGACATTGAATAATTACTTTGTATTAAATGACAATACTGCTTATTTAAAATGACAATAATCCCAATATTGAACCACATAGGTAGTCATTTTGTGTATGGTTTACACATGCCATTCATTTCTCTCATACCAGCCAACACAAAAATTCAATCTTTTTCTTACCTATTTTCTTCCCATACTTTCTTCTCTTTCTCCTTTAGTATCCTTCTCAACCAAACAGAGCATACATTTCTTGGACCATGATATTAGGCAATCTCGTCTGTGTATGTGGGATGAAACTCATACCACATTTATTTTATGTGCATATTTGTCGGCTGAGAACTTCTGCTACATGCAGAAGTGTTTGAGAGATTTTTTTCAACTTCCAGCAAATCTTATATCTCTAATTGTATCACATTTTTTTAATATGCATTACACCATTTCGGGATCCTTTCTAATGTATTGTTTGAAGTTATATGGTGACCAGTGTAGAGTTGTCTAATGTTCATTCTCCCCAGCTTGAAAACTATGCAAAAACTGAGGAATCAAAGGTTGAAGAGCTCATTAAAGCAGTTGCAGATTCTGGTGCTAAGGTCATTGTTAGTGGGGGTGCAATTGGAGAGATGGCACTCCATTTTTGTGAACGTTACAAGTACAGTCTCTTTTCCTGTTTATTGTTTTGTGTGGTACTCTGTCCCACAAAACGGTTCCATATTATTGGTCCGTCCCTAAAAAAGATCCCACTTTCCACTTTTAGAAAAGTTTTTGTGGTTCATATTATTTCACTCCCACCACTTTCAACCACACTATTTTATGTTTCTTGATCTCTGCACCCAGTCAAACATGGAACTTTTTTGCGGGACGGAGGAAGTATGTTTTTTTGGGAGAAAGAGATGGGTGCACTTGAGTGCTGGGATCTAATTTAAAAACTTTTCAAAGCTTATGCAATGGGGCGACAAGGTCCCTGGCAGTTTTAAATTTATGTGATCTTCACTGTAGTTGTACTGCATGAATTCATAAGCTAGATCCTTTTGTAAGGGAATGCTTTACTTTCAATCCTGTAAGAGTTGTCTATTTCTGGAATGTGAGTGCAAGTATTTTCTTTTAGTGTTTCAATACTCTGTAAAATATAGTTATATGGTACTTTCACGTTTTGATAAAAGAGCAACAAGATATTTTACAGACAAACACGCCATTGTTGTAATAATTAATACGGAGTATATGAATAGCCCATCAAATGTCATTTAACCTGCTGAAGTGGGACTTCTAAACTTTCTTTTTTGTGACGAGTTTCATTTAATGCTTTTGAAGATCCCCATGCATTTAAGTTGAGCCATGAAATTGGCATTTGGAATATAAGATTGAAACTATTGGTCAGCAGATTACTGTACATTCATGAGCATCACACCTGTGCCTTTCTTAACTCTTGTCAATGGTACTTTGGTCTTTTGATTTATAAATATGTTATTGTTTGCCAATTGCAGGCTCATGGTTTTAAAAATAAGCTCCAAATTTGAACTGCGGCGTTTTTGTAGAACCACCGGTGCTGTTGGCCTTGTAAGCCTGTCATTACAGCATAATAACTAAAATGTCTTGAATACACTTGAGCTGTTGCTAGTAACTGTCATTTTTTTTCTTTTTCCTGAGACCAGTTGAAATTAAGTCAACCAAATGCAGACGACCTTGGATATGTTGACTCTGTCTCAGTGGAAGAAATCGGTGGCATTAGGGTACATACCACACTTGTTTAATTATCTGGTCCATGTTAGTACAAGCTATTGACATTTCATGTTTTTCCTTCTAGGTTACAATCGTAAGAAACGAGGAAGGTGGAAATTCTGTGTCCACTGTTGTTCTACGTGGTAGCACTGACAGTATACTGGACGACCTTGAAAGAGCAGTGGATGATGGTGTAAATACCTATAAGGTATCTACTGTGCCTATAGACAGTAGCTCCTAGTTTGTTTGTCCATAATTTCTTTTTGTTGGTAGTATTGAGCTATGTTTCACATTAGAATCTGCAGTTTGATAACCCTTCATTGTACCAGGCAATGTGTAGGGACAGCAGGATAGTACCTGGAGCTGCGGCTACTGAGATTGAGTTGGCCAGGAGATTGAAGGAGTTCTCTTTTAAAGAGACTGGGTATTCATTTATTTATAAGCACTCCTTTCATTGGCTGAGTATCTTAAAGTTTGCAGTTTTTAATTTTTCAAATAACTTAATCAGGGGTTATTGTGCTTAAATCTAATTGTGTTGACTGAAAGTATTGTGTTTAATATCATTATTTCTATTACCAATGTACTATGCTATAGATGTTATGATGTTTTTTAGCTGTTAATGCTCAATACCTCCATTATAAACTTTGAATGGCGAAATACAGTGTATCTGAAAGTCCTGTAATAATATTCATTGTATGTAGCCTGGACCAGTATGCCATTGCCAAGTTTGCTGAAAGCTTTGAAATGGTTCCTAAAACTCTTGCTGAGAATGCTGGCCTTAATGCTATGGAAATAATATCGTCTTTATATGCCGAGCATGCATCTGGGAACACCAAAGTAGGCATCAGCTTGGAGGAAGGGGCATGCAAGGATGTCACCGCCCTGAATATATGGGACCTCTACATCACCAAGTAAGCTTCTGAGTGAAATTTACCCTTTAATGTCATTGACTCAATAAGAGGGGAGGAGAAGAGAAATGGAAGAGAGGGAAGAGGAAATGGAACACCTAAAAATGTTATGTTTGGCTCAATGCATCACTGATGAGGAAATTAGTGCAGAGTATTTTTAAATTTTGTGTCAATATTACAATTGACATTTGTATTGTTTTTAATTAATATTTAGATAGTTCTCCATAAGGATTGCCATGTTTTACATGTTACAACAAAAAAATACTTCATCAAGTGTAGTATTATCACCCAATTCGGATTAGCAAGTTTTCATGAAATCGAAGGAGTCCAAAGCTCCTCCATTACCGTTAACTCCTACCAAACATTAGTCATTCAACATTTCAATTTCATAGCGTTATAGATTTTCAATGATGCAAACAATGCAACTAGTTACGTGCATCTTTTTCCTACAATGTTTGTATCATTGATGGGATATGTCTTTGTGTTGACTAGGTTTTTTGCTCTCAAATATGCTGCGGATGCTGTCTGCACTGTGCTACGAGTGGACCAGGTAACTACCTGTTTATTATTCCTGAATCTCTTTTTATGAGTAGCTCTCTACTATGAAGTGTGGACTCTGGACCACATGATTAGATTCCATTGAGACAGCCGAACTGTTTACATAATACATTCTAAGTTCTGAGTCTAACACATTACTTAATAGTGTGTTAACTGTTAAGAGTCAGATTGAGCTACGCACACACACACTCACTCTGTCCCTAAATAAAATATAACTTAACTTACATTCACCATTCACAAGGTAAAATTATACCTTTTTTTGCTTGTTTACTTTACCATTGGTTAGAATAACATAATCATGTCACCTTCCTTCATGAAGAACTTTTGTTTTACTTTTAAAATATACCCGTAATATAATTTTTATTTTTTAATTTGACACCAATGTTCAAATAAACTGAATGAAAAACCATTTCGGTTAAACATCTGATACCGTAAGCCAAAGTCTATTTAGGGATGGAGGGAGTCTGAGTGTGTATATTCCGTAGTATTTTTTTGTACACTCTGTAGTGTACACAAACAAACATCGTCGCGAAGGTCCTCAATAAAAGTTCATACTTCCAGCACAAAACATTTGCCAGTGTTTTCATCATTTACTGATTAATACTACGCAGATGTGATAAATACTACAATTATTTTATTGTAGTAAATACTACAATTATTTTACTGCTGTATTACTTTTGTGCACTGAAGTTGGATTTAAGGTGACACAACAAATTTTCTTTCAATCAATTGTCAAATAAGAGATTCCAATTTTTGGTATAAATGTACGAACTTTCTTTGGGAACATTTTTTCCCTCAACAACAAACCCGATATAATCCCAACTTTGTTGGGGTCTTGGAGTTCAACGTGTATACAACCTTACCCCTATAAAAACTGAGAGGTTGAGGAACATCCTTTCTCTCATTTCATGCAAAAGGGCAAAAGGTGCCCCTCACCCATTTATGAATCATGGTATTGTTTTTTCCTGTCAATCTATAAGAAAGGTTGGATTCAATAGAGATATTATTACCCTTAGACTTTTGAAAGGAGTAACACACATATAACAAGACAAGATAGTTGTATCTTTCTTTTTGCGTATAATATTCCCATTCTATTCCATTCATTACCAAACACTAGAATGAGTTCTTAGAAATTTCATTCCCTCCAACCACAAAATTTAAATTACAGAGAAAGCACATGATCAGGGAAAGGACCCTGCGTCATATACGGTTTTTTTCATAAAGCGGGGGGTCTCTTGGAAACAACCTCTCTACTTTCGAGTAGGGATTAGGTTTGTGTACACCTTCCCTAGACCCTACCCTTGTGAGATTCATTTGAGTTGTTGATCTGAAATTTGATCATGGTGCAGATTATAATGGCAAAACCAGCTGGCGGTCCAAGGAGAGGAGCACAACCGGGAGGAGGAATGGACGAGGACTGAGTTTCGGGAGTTATCTGTATCTTTGTGGTTGTGTGCAAGTTTTGGCTCTAGAAAGAGGTTTTTGATGATCTATGGTTATTACTGTTGCTAAAATCTTTTGGCACTGTGATTTGTGATGTTGAACTGAATGAATGCACCCTGAAAAGGTTCTGATTTAGTGGATTAGGGATAGCAAGTGTCCAACTTTCTTTGATATCAGGCACAAGTTTCTTTGATTTTGGCAATACTTTGAATTTTTAGTGTAATACGGTATATATGGAAATGGAGTCAAAAACTGATTTCATTGCAGGTAAATCCGAAATGAAATCTATAGATATATCTACCCAAGGTTCGGTAAAAATCAGAAAGGACGTATATAACACATGAGGCATAACATGGGATTTATTACATTGTGGAAGAAGATACAATTTTATTCACACCCCTTTCAATTTTTGGTCACTACTAATGTTCATTATTTTATTTTAACCAAAATGACCCAAAGGACCATCCTCGTACGTCTTTCTAACTAATTCACCGAAGTGCTAGTTCTCTCGAAAAATAATGTTGTATTTGTATGCCCTAGTGACTTAGTGGCCAATCATTTACGGATAGGATCTGTATATTTATCATCAATAAAGACATTGAAAATTATTTATACACCTCAGGTATATAAACGTAGCTTTAGTCCATAGACATTGTTCATGTAACATAGATGAGGATTACAATATTTTGATTATGAGTTGATACAATAATCTTTTGGGGGGCTATGTCTAAAATACTCAATGTCTAGTGTTATGATAATACAAACATCATCAATGAATGGAGACTAGTACATATATGATGAGATGGTTGACTTAAATAAGCTATTGATATTGGATATCTAGTCATAAATGTAGGTAGATCTTATTAGTCAAACTAAACAAACTTTAATATTCAATTATTCTCAATTTGTAGTGCATATTAATATAATGAAATAAAATTTTGAAAGTTTTCAACCAAAAATCTAATCAAATCATTTTTATACTAGTATACTTTATAGTTTTTTAAATTGATATTCAAAACTCATCCAGTTTGACTCAAGAAAGTCAAAATGAACGAATCCACTAGGACAAATGGAGTATGTTACTGAACATAACACGTCATGAGAATACTACACGGGCCTTACATTAACATGTACTTAGTATTCTTAAACGACCAAGGTATAACTATTTTTTGACTTGAAGTTATTACACTTCCTAATGCATGGACCTTAATGCTCTAATCCATATCTAATGGTGTGAAAGTGATTCTTGGGGATAAAATCTCCATTGTCTAGATTGCAATAGATTGGATAGATCAGACTGCGAGGGTACTTGGGTGGCCATCCATTCACTCTGGAAGAAATATATACCAGCCCGCTTCCGTGAGGAGAAGTGTACAAAGTTTATGGAATTGAGGCAGGGAGACCTGACTCTCGAGTTGCGACAAAAGTTTGATTATCTGGCCAATTTGCACCGATGTTATTAATTACAACAGAAGATCATATTAAGGAGTTCCGGAAAAAGCTTCGGACAGACCTTAGGCCACACGTGTCTGTCATAACCGCGACAAACTTTACACGGCTTGCGATCTGATAGTGAAGGCAGAGAAAGACCTGGATGACTACAAGGCAAGCCCGAAGACTGAGAATGCAAGGTTGAATGCATGATCTAAAGTGAGCGCTGCCCTAAGCAGTTAGAGACCGTTCAGTGGTTCCAAGGGTACCCAAAGCTCCAAAAAGGCTAGATCAGCGCTGGGTTAGTTAGTGGCATCAATAGTAAGCCAATAGCTTCGAGGAATCTGATGTGCAATTTGCACATGTTGAACCACCCGGGAGATTACTTATTTACTCAAGGACTTTGTTTGTGATATGGGAGCCCGGACACTCAAAGAAGCACTGCCCCACTATCCCAGGCCTGCCGTTCTCCATGACGGAAGTGCAAAACTAGACAACCGCACCGTGACCCGACTAAATCCAAAAGTCAAAAAGGGGTCAAACCCACATAGCAATCAAGATTAGAAACAATAGATGCGTACTACTGCCCGTACCTACGCCATGCAAGGGGGTACAAAAATCAAGTGCAACGCCATTCTGGGTATATTTTTCTTATTTGATACTAATTAATATGCTTATGTTGATTGATCCATGATCTATATTCTCCTAAATGTGTATATCCATGCCTAAAATATGCTTAACTTGGAATATTCTATGGTAGTGTCGAACCCACTATATTCTATGATAGTGTCGAACCCACTAGGACACAACATGCGAGATCAAGTGTTTAATAGTTTTACATTCATTGCTAAAGGACAAAAATTATCTGCTAACCACATATAGATGTCGTACATTAAGTTTGACATTATCTTTGGTATGAACTGATAATTGACTGAACACCAAGATATAATTAGTTGGGACTGCGGATTCTATGTGGTTGAAAGTTGACAATGGTGATGTCGTGAAGGTCAAAGGGGAGTTTGTTTCCCTTATGCACACTAGACGTCTCATCCATAAGAAGTGCAAGCCGTTCTTGGCAATGTTTGTGACGTATGAAAGGAAACCCCTGAAGAGAAAGACATCACAACTCTATGTGACTTTCTAGATATGTTCCCTTATGAGCTCCTTGTCTTGCCACGGCCAAAGGAGGTAGAATTCTTGATTGACCTTGTTCCTAGAGGGAAGCTATACATGTGACACCGTACTGTATGACAGCTTCCGAAATGAAGTAGTTGAAGGCTCAACTGCAATAGTTGCTTGATAAGGTATTCATCACATTGAGTGCATCCCTCTGCAGTTGAAGTTATTTTCAATTTAATTTATAGAAATATTTGTGTACAATTAATGTTTTCAAAAGGTTTACAAAATAAGGCTATGTAAGAACAAAGTTAGATGTTGGAAGAAATTAGAAGGAGTTGGAAAAAATTGGAAGTTGGAAGAATCTAGAAGGCATTGGAAGGAGTTGGAAGAAATTAGAAGGAATTGAAAAAAATTGGAACGAGTTCAAAAAAATGGAAAGAGTTAGGAAAAAATTTCAAAGTGTTGAAATATTTATTCTATCTTATACATTTCATATTTTATTTAAAAAAACTTATACTTTAATTTACTTTTTTTTTAAATTTTTTATCTCTTTTTATTTTCTTATATGCTATTATGTATTATCCCAAATCGTATTGGTAATGTGTGAGTGTGTGACTCATCGCACCCTTTCTTTATATTTTAAAATCAATATCAATTACAAATATATGGTTTTTTATTTTTTTTAGTTGTATGTCACTAATCCGTGTAAAAAAATGAGACAAATGAAGCAATAGTTTTATTAATCCTTAGTTGAAAGACAAATGAACCAATTCATTCCCTTTCAAACTATAAGTATTTCATTTTTCATATGTTTCAAGAATATTTAAACAATTTTTTACTTTGTTTACCTTTTTTTATATTTTAAAATAATGAAATGGAGAATTTTTATGCAATGGAAGTAGTATTTAATATGCATCCAACATATGTACATTTAAGAATTAAACAATTTTAATCTCACATAATTATTGCTACGCATATTATATTGATAATGTATGGACATTTATTTTTTGCATATGCTTAGAAGGTGCACATCTTTTCTTTATATATTAAATTTGAAAGTTAACCTTATAGAATTGCGAAAAGTGTCGAGTCTACATGATAAATTTTTAACAAATCATTCGTCACCTATTAATGACTTGAATGATGTGACATTTTTCAACAAAATATTGATAGATCAATTTAAGTTGTATACGAAATATATGCTTTATATACGGATCAAGAAGTGTCATTATAATTTTTTTGGAAAAAAGATAACTAAAATAAAATTAGAATATGGAGAAAGTACCAAAATATGAGTTCCATATTTTTTATCTCTAAAATAGGAACTACAATACCAATAATTTTAAACATTATGAAATGGTAATATACAGTGCCACAGTGTCAATGTTTAAACTTTTATTTTGGAAATAAAAATATTGAACTCTTGTTCTGGGGATAGGATTTATGTTTTACTCCTATTTGAGTGATTTTTTTAGTTTTGCTTAGAAAATATATACGAAGTAATATATATAGGGAGTAGTAATTACCAAAAGATTCTTTCTACACGTATATTACCTTAGCTTATATACCCTTTTTTATTTTACAAATCATCATCTTTCCTTTTAAGCTTCTTTGGAACCCCTTTGCATATCTTTCTTTTTTTTCTGCTACAGTGTAGATCGTTGAAATTGTGAAAACTATTATGTAATTGATGATGGCAATTAAGGGGAGGGCAATATTAGTAATCCATTAAAAAGGAAATTGATACCATTATTTTTTGGTAAATTATATTATTTTCCATTATTCTTTCCGAAGCTTACGAGAACAAATTTCCAATTTTGTTGTGTATGGTTACGGTGGAATCAGAAAAATGATAAGATTGTCTTGAATGTCACATCCAGTGGCATTGCAACATTACTTTTTCATGGGGGAAGGATATTACACTCAAGATTTTCAATCTCTCTGACGCTAACTGAGTACGTGTGCCATCAAACAAGAGAGCCCGAAAACAGCACTAATCCAACAAGTAAGTTTAATAATATGGGATGAAGCATGTATGATGAATAAATTTACTTTTGAGGTGTTGGATCACAAAATGAGAGATGCAATGAGTTTCTCTAATAAAAACTACAGAAACGAACCATTTGGAAGGAAAATAGTTGAATTCAGAGGGAAAATAGTTGAACTCGGAGGGAACATAGTTGTACTCGGAGGTGATTTTTAGAAAATTCTTCGTGTTTTACCCAAAGCTTCAAGAGAGGAAATTGTGATTGCAATCATCAATTCTTTAAAATTATGGTTGTATTTTAAGTTTATACGTTGACGAAAAATATGAGATTGCATTCATCTATGTCCTTTTGCACAGATAAAGACACACAATTTTTCTTATTGGATAATCAAAGTTAGAGATGGAAAGCTTGGACAAGTGATTGATGGAACAACTGCCTTTGAAATTCTGCATGAATTCTTGATTCTAGACACAAGTTATCCCATCAAGAGTATAATGGACTTCAATTATCTTAATTGAACCTATTGGAGATTATGAAAAGTTATTCATTTTTTGAGGATAGGGCACTAATGATACCCATGCTTGAGATTGTAGAAATGGTAAATGAATTTGTTATATCCCTCATTCCCGAATATGAAATGGTGTGCCTGAGTTTTGATTCTTCATGTCAGGCCGATTCGGATGTAGTTGTTGATGATGCTTGGATAACAGTTGAGTTTTAAATGAAATCAAATGTTCGGGGATCCTAAACCACAAAATA